CTACCCTTGTCTCTGTTTCTGGAAAGGAAATAATTTCCATCTAGCTTTTAACAAAAATATGTTTAGCATCTGTTGGTGATGGCGCGTATCATTTCAAACTCAGAGGTAATGTCATATCAAGCACTGAGACTTTGGCATAAACAGTAGAGTTAATGGACTTTCACATCATAAGCTAATATGATTTCAGAGATGGATGGAGTGGAAGAAAGAAAGACAGCAAGACAGCTATGGGGAATTAGTCTCACTTATTGTCTGCTTCAGTAGCCGGTATGTCTGTGGTGCTGATGATCCTGGACAACTCTAGTTTCATGGCCAAAGGCAGATGTCAGCAGTAGTGGCCTCGTCCCGTACAGCTGCTTTACGTAACCACAGGCTTGTGCTTGGAGAGGGCAGCCAAAAGCCAGTGGTGGAGACCTCCAGTATAAAACTAGTGTTTCAGCACTGTTTTCTGTGATGGTGGAATGATCCTGGTTTGTGCGCTGGATTAACACTGTCCTGCGCTGGAGCAGGCTTGGGTCTAGTGTCTGGGCTGGCTTCTTCACTTTGGCTTGAGCCAGACTTACACATCTATTTCTGGTCCTTGGGAATGAGATGGAAATCTAAACAGTGGAGTGGCTGGATGAACAAGCAGCCCTCTCAAAACCAGACTGCCTCCCCGTCCTCCTCCTCTTGCTCCACTGCAGCCCTCAGCCGCCACTTTATCATCCTGTGGTGCTGAATGGGCCCCCTTCATGTTGGTCGGGTTTATGACCCTGCGTTCTCAGACCAGGGGTCCAGATATGGATCTCCATCAAAGGCTCTCTTAGATACCACTGTCACCTCTGGTCTGCTGTGGGTAGGCTGGTATGCCTTAAAGAGCCGATTATAAGCCTTTGGCAAGTAGTCAAGACCGCCTCTCTTTTCCCCTGCACCGAGTCGTGACCCCACTGATATGTACCTGTATGCATGTAGGGATATTCAGGAACTCAAATGTTTGACCTTGACCTGAACCCACAACTCACCTCACTTCCCTCAGGAAGTGGCAACTTAGCCACAGGAAATTGAGTTGCTGATTTAAAAAAAAAAAAAAAAAAAAACAGCTACAGAAGGGCATAGAGCAGGAGACATGAATTACCACATGCTTTGACACTTCTGTAAATACATGACTATTTGACCAGAAAGAATTTCACTTTTCAATCCTCATTTCTTTTCATAGCCGACTCTCTTTTCCTCACACCAACACTCACCCAGTCATTGGAAAAACTCTATAGGGCTATTTATAGCTAAATCACATGATAGAAAGCATATTGTCCCTTATTTGTTGGGTCTGGTTGCCTGCTCTGCTTGTATCGTTGCATCATTCTGAGTGGAGGCAGCAGTCCAGGGTTTATGAATGAACCAACTCTCCGCCAGAGGCTGGGAGATGGCACTGATCCCACTGTGATGTCACTCCAGAGACGAGGAGAAGAGAGGAAGCTTTATGAGACCTCCCATTCATTCTGCTGTGCCCACCCCCGGTTCTCTTGTCCTGTGATGGGCTCATATTACAGGCCAGTGACTCATTCCCCCCTACTCGCTCACCCCTCACCCACCCAGGATGCTCCCTTGCTATCTTCCCCAGCCCTGTCCTGCACTGCCCAGCCCTGCCTGTTCCAGCCCTGTAGACTTTGGCCCGAATTGCAAAAATCCCAATTTCACGCCCACGCTTTGGCGCACAGGCAAAGACGGCTGCTAATTTAGTTCATGTGTGTGTATGTGTGTTTATATGTGTGTCAATTTAACAGCCTAAGGTGCCAAACAGATCCTCTGTCTAAGGTTGGGTAGGGGCTTGGTCACAAGGGCATGGCAGTGAAGGTGGACAGTCTGTCAGTGAAAATCCCTGGGGGGAAATAAAGTCGTCACACTCAGCAGCCTGTCCATTGCTCGTATCAAGGAAAGAGGGGAGTGGCTAATCAATACTTTTTTCTGTACATTCAGACTAGACATCAGTCTCACTTCATCAGTAATTCTTAGAAGATGGATTTATAGATTAATTATTCCTTTTACATCATTAGAAGAAAATTGGTTTCATTTTCATACTTCCCAGACTCTTTCTTTTTATAGTCTTGTTAGTGAAATGCGAATTCCATAATGTTGGCTGTAATTTACACCCACTCCCACATTTTGTGAGCTAAGTGGATGGGACTCATTTGTGGACAGACCCACACCATCTAATGTGGAAAGTGATGACTCGTGGATGCTCTTAACTCTGAATACATACTGACCATTCTGTATCTAATGGGACTCACAGGCACTGAAATCCTATCAGGACTTCATCATTTACTAGAGATTGTCTAGATCCAAGCTCGCCTCTCTCACTAATGGATGCATGCTGTACATTAGCTTTGGCCCAGATAACTTTCATATAGATCATTCACCATGGACACTGCTCTATTATCATTGCACTTTTCAGTTTTCAGTTTGTTTGCCTTTTAAGCCTCGCTGGTTTCTCTGCTTCACTTTTGTGATGTACATAATGTGCTGTTAAGAAAGTAAAATGTTTTGTTGAAAGTACAATTTGTCTTGCTGTTGCACTGTGACCTAAGAGTCCAAATTTAGAAGACATTTCTTGTGTTTTGAATTGCTGCAAGACTGTAAACAAAAATCCCACTTCAAACTCATTTTAAACAAGGGAAAACAAGTCATTCAAAGTAAAAACAAAAGAAATCGCAAATTGCAGTTCACATTTTAATTTGCTCTATAATCATGGTTCACAAATTTTTCTCTTTAGAGTGCCTAATGGTGGTTCTCATGCACGATGGTGTTGAGTGTCTTTGATGCAGGATTTAGTGCTCAAGTGGGTTCATGTCTGTGTGGGCAAGTGTAGGCTGGGGCCGTGTTGATAAAAGCAATGGAGAGGGAGGGGAGTAAATGGTTCGAAAGTGCAGACAAACTATACTCGATCCAGCTTAAATAAACTGCTGCATTTTGCCCTTGCCTTCACATCAAAGCACAGACTGTCTGAGCCCCAGTCCCATCTCAGTTTGCAACATGTACATTTTTTGCACTACCAACACTACTAAAAAGAAAAATGAGCTCAGTAGAGGCCTAGACAATGTTGGTGACGGGGGCAACTTGAACACAAAGACCTCTCGATCAGGTCTTATGTTCATTGTGAAACTGCATGGTTTATTTTGATGTGAGCTGTGTCTGACAATAGTTTAACTGGGGTCTTATGTGGGACTGTAAAACAGCGTTTATTCTCAGCTCCTCTACCTTGTTTTTACTTCTGACCTGAATGAATAACTTTGTTTGTTTGCCAGTGTAACAGAGAGCAATATATTTTTACAGGCCTAATTGAATCACACGAAGAAGAAGGAAAGAGCTCTTGTCTGTCCTCTCTCTGTCTGTCTCAGGCCTGTTGTGAGGTTTCTTTCTTTAGAGAGAGAAAATAGAGGGGGGAAAAAAGGAGCCAAAGACAGAAAAAAGAAACCGGGAGACCTAATTTTACAAAAAGCCAGACAGACATTGGTTACATGGGCGAAGGAGGGACAGCTGCTGTGCATTCCAAACGAGGTCGAGACATCAGCGAGTGGTGAAAACAAGCATGAACTGTATGTTGCCCTAGTGCACTGCTGGCAGATAAAACCACCAGCCAGTGGAGATGCCAGAACATCTGGGTTAGACGAAAGGCAGTGCTGTGACGGGAGCGACACAACTTTTCAGTATATAACTGGTTTGCCTTTAAGCCAAGTCTTTTGTGATTTCGGTTTCAAACGATTGTGTCTGTAACTATTGCAGGTCAATTACAAAGTATGAGACATGCAACCAAAATCGAAGCCTTATTGAAACCTTAATTTTGTGTGCACCCCCCAAGTTGATCAGAAAAGATAAAGCTATTATATCATACTGCAGACTCTAAAATATGTCTTTCTTTGTTGTGTTAATGAGTGTGGCTGCTTTGCAGATTAAATGATAAAGACATGTCAGTCAGTTGGAACTCTATAGAGCCTTTTGGTGTCTATTTAGAAGTCATTTGTTGAGTGTTGGCCAGCTTAGTTTTTAGCAGTCTATTCCTGTGTTAGTGGCCCGGGGGTCTTTTCCCTTCTCCCCTAATCATCTCCCCTGCTTTGCCCCCATAACCCACACTTCTGCAGCCTGGGCAATCTAATTGGATGAGTGCGAGTCATCAGGCACTGTTTAAAGTCATCAAAGGGAGCTCTGTTCTGCACTTGGTGCCCACTAGCTGTGAGCAGAGAACAGTAAGCCTAGTGTGTGACTGAAACCCTCGAGACAGCCCACCCTAAACTCTCCTAGCCACCCGCCAGCAGCCACCGTGACATCATCACCCCATCCCTCGACCCTTGACCTCTCAGAATGTTTGACCCCACGCTTGGTCTGGTGACAGTAGGCCCACTGTGTAGGCACAGCACGTTAGGAGGGCTAGCAGGGGTCATGGTGTCCCTGATGGGCACCAGGCGCTGCTCTCCCACCCAGGATGTGTGGATAGGAGAGAGGTTACGAATAAATACATGCGAGGTTATTTTATGCAGAGTGCCAGGTGAGTGTGATTTACCATAATACCCTTTCTATAATACCAGAAACATGTGTATCATTGTGCAAAAATAGTGCACATCCATTGTAATCTTCTGACGGTGTGACAGTTCTTGTTTAAATAGATTGGCTCTGAGACGGAGACTGTGTCTAGACGAGATGTAATTGTTGAGCCATGTTGGTGATCACGGTCAGATACAACAGTGTGTCTGGAGGTGTGGTTGTGTGTGTCAGTGTGAATATCTAACTGAATCACATTCACAAGTCTCTCTTTCCTGCCCTCACTCTGTCTCAATTAAATTTTCCGTTCAGTAAGCTATATCGGCATGAAATACAATACAGGATGCATCGTCGCAGCTTTGGTTGTCAATAATAATTATAGCGGTATTTAATAATATTAGCATATTAGTTATTGCAATCCCTAATGAAATAGATATTGATATTCTTTAAATAATATCAACATCAATGTTCTTTGTTGTCATTGGCAGATCCAGAGTGTGGAGATGTCCCGCTGCTAACTCCAGGAAGTAAAGAGATGATGTCCCAGGCTCTGAAGGCCACCTTCAGTGGCTTCACAAAGGAACAGCAGCGGCTGGGGATTCCCAAAGGTTAGACTGTCAGCTGAATGTATTAGTCCCTAGTTAACGTTTTCATTGCGGAAATGAAATCTTATAAGTAAAGCATGATCCCCCCGAACCACCTCGATGTGTCACATGTCAGGCAGGCACATCACTATGTGCGTCACTCACCTTACATCATAACCTGCTTTAGATCGTTCAGTGAGGGCATCTCTTAGAAGGATTCACTGAAAACCAGGAGACACCAAGTTATTCCAGAAATGGCCTTATATTACATACATTTCACTCCAGGCAGACTGACTGACTGCAGCATCCAGAGAAAAAGAGACATGAGACAGACGGTAAAGTAATGAGTTAGCTTCCTAAATGGAGTCCGACCACAGATCCTCTTCATGCTGTTTAGAAACAGCAGGACTTTCAGTATCTGTCTATGTAATCATGCTATATATGCAGACTAGGATTTTGGCTTGTCATTACCACTGCTGTTTACAGCCACTGCTGCCTCTCTTGACTTGTTATGGGTAGATATATTTGCCACAGAGGCAGTGTGAAAGTTGGCAGAGTAACCAAAGATCTTCTTTCTCACAATGAAAACGGAGCAGAATAAGGAATGTGCTGTGGTGCTAAAGAGAAAATTTAATCTATATTCTCACATCAGCCACAGGTTGAGATGGATGTTTGAATAAATGTGTGGTATATACTGTATAAACACTGTATGTAAACAGTGAATATAATACAAATTGTGATCCCCTTCAGATCCTAGACAGTGGACAGAAAACCATGTGGCTGCATGGCTAACATGGACAGTGAACGAATTCAGTCTGAAGAACGTGGACTTTGACAAATTCTGCATGAACGGAGCCAGCCTGTGTGCGATGGGGAAGGAGCGCTTCCTGGATTTAGCACCTGACTTTGTGGGTGACATCCTCTGGGAACATTTAGAAATGCTTCAGAAAGGTAAGGCCACGTTGCTTTGAAGACAAGTTCATATAATGATGTGTTTGTCATTTTTGTGCAGTATAAGATGGTTTTAAGACAGAGACTAGAGACTCTCACACACAGTATGTGAGAAAATATCACATCACACAGGGTGATATACCTTCTTCTACCAATTTAGGACACTGTTGGCATTTGCTATAGTCACAGGAGCCAAACAGGAAGGTGCAATTTAGCTCAAGTCATTAATTTTTGATCATGCTGGATGCAGTTACATGATGCATGAAAATCAATGATGAGGTCACTGACACTCATTCTCTATCTATTTTTCATGAAGAGGATACAAAGCATTACCCCATCAATGGACTGACCTCCAACTTCCAGGAATCCCGTTATACCTCAGACTACTTTGTCAGTAAGTACTCATCACACTCACAGTCAATCACTGTAACAGCATACAATGCGTGCCTCAAATATGAATGGATATGGAGGTGGAAGAGGAGTGGTATAGTGTTGTGAACAAAATAGTTTTGGGGTTTAGTGCTAGAATATTTTGTCTTGTCCCATTTTATAAGATAAAAAAATGGGATGGGTATACATTGTAAGATTCATCTTATGCACTCAGGGCTGTGTTTTGTTAGGGACTATTCACACACTAAGCATTTGGGCAGCAGTTCAGCACAAGAGGGATAATGACGCTACTCTCCTAAGATTGATCTTCGTCCTGTGCTTCACTACTTGCTTTCCTTCCCTGACTTCTATCTAAACTCCCTTCCCTTTGTGTCTCCAGGCTACGGTGTTGAGCATGCTCAATGTGTCCCTCCTTCTGAATACTCAGAGCCCGGCTTCATCACAGAGTCGTACCAGACGCTTCATCCCATCAGCTCAGAGGAATTGCTGACGCTTAAGTATGAGAGTGAATACCCCGCTGTCATCCTACGAGACACTCCCCTCAACCCACTGCAGGGGGAATACTTCTCTGTCAAGCAGGAGGTGGTATCCCCTGACAACATGTGTGTGGGACGCCTCAGCAGAGGTGAGGGGTCACATACCAGATATGAGGAATATAGCTGATATTTAAGCACAGCGCAAGGTTTAGTCTAGAGAATGGCAGACTGTGCTTAATTTCTGCTGTAATCAACAGTTTGTTTGGATCGAGTGTTTGGTAATTGTGTCCATGTACGTGCATGTAGATGTCAAATGTTTGTGTGGGTGTGTGTGTGACTATGCCAAAACTACCCAAATCTTGTCATGCCACATCAGTGTGCTTGCATTAGAAGAGAATTAAAGCGGGCTCTCTGGTTGGCTTGTGGTTCATGCAAACCCGTCTTATACACTCTAGACTGGGTTGGGAAAAAAAAAAGAACTCTATTGTTTTTGTCAGAGTGATGCACGAACCAAAGCCACAGCGTGTTCTCTCACCGCCTGTCCTTTATGTAAAACAGTTCAAGTGGTGTAAGCTTCAAGAAAGTTTGTTTTTTTTTCTCTCCTTTCCTCGAGTCAACCTTCTGGGTAAAGAGATAGAGGTGTCATCCTCAGTTAGTAAGCGTGGGGTTTTCTCATGAAACTGTTTGCTTTTCTGAATTTGCAGGCTTATTTGCTCTCCCAGTGATAGTTTACAGAGGAATTAGCAGCATGGTTTACATGTATAGCCATAAAGCTAGGATTTTCTTCTCACAAATCCCCAGCTGAATAAATGAATAGCATGTGCCATGTACACTATACAAGCCTCCTGCCAGGGCTTCAAGCATTTGCCTGCAATGTATGAGGTCCATTCCCCATGCATCACACATACCAGGTTTTTGAGCGTTGCGCTGTGCTCTCCCAACGTGGGAAAGTATTTTGTAGCACAACTGATATCCACATGTGGCTTCAATTTCAGCAGTTGAAGATTATGGCATCAATCGAGGTGCTGCATTATCTGTCATTTGATAATGACTCACCATTGAAAGACTCCTCTTATCTTTCCCAAGGTCAAAAATAGCAAGGCAATTTGTGTGATTGTCTTCCATTTATAAATGGTGGTTGTAAAAGGGAAATGAGGTGTGAAATGGAGGGAGGTGTGGCACTGTACAGAACCATATAGCTTAGTGAGAAGGGATATAATGTCAGATGCTACAGAAAACTTACAAGAACAATTAACATTCTTATGCACTGAAGCAAAACATTGAAAAATAGCTACAAATCCATTCTTTGAAATGTTTTTTTAAGAAAAGCAGAGTAGGAATGTCACAAATAATACAAATTCAAGACTTTATTATAAAAATGTAAATGTGATATACTATTAAATGTACAGTTTTCTCTTTTGTAACAACTTTATTTCTCTCTCTCTTGCTATTTCCGCTCATTTTTCCCCTCACAGGTAAGCTTGGTGGCCAGGACTCCTTTGAGAGCATCGAGAGCTTTGAGAGCTGTGACCGGTTGACCCAGTCATGGAGCAGCCAGTCTTCATTCAGCAGCCTGCAGCGGGTACCTTCATACGACAGCTTTGACTCAGAAGACTACCCCACTGCCTTGCATGGCCACAAGCCCAAGGGCACTTTCAAAGACTATGTGAGGGAGCGCTCAGACCTCAGCAAGGACAAACCCGTCATCCCAGCAGCTGCACTGGCAGGATACACAGGTAAGATGTCTAGAGTTGCGTTATATAAATTATGTTGTATAGAAGTCTGCCTTGAAAAGGGCTGCAGCATTTTAAAGACCTTTTTCACATATATTTTTTAAATGTCACAGCAGGAAAAGCACAGGGTAACTATTAACATGAATCATAGCTCTGCTCCATTTAGGTGTGCCTGTAAGCTAGCCAGCATGCACAACCCCAGGACCGTGATACTGGTGCACCAAAAAGGAATTATTCATTTTAAAAGTTTAGAAAGGGATATGTAACACAATGTAAAACTACATTATTTATTAATTTATTATAGTATTATTATTAACATACATACATACATATTCAACTTCAAGAGTTCAAACATGTTAACTGGTACAGTTAAAGAAAAATATTGGTATTTATGAGTGTGGTGAATTTTCTGCATGCCATTAGTCAACAAATCTTGTTTTTTTTTGTTAATAGATTTTTTTTAGTTTTTTTGTTTCAATAGGTCCTGTTGGTTGACATTTACTTTTGCACAAGAAAATCCCATTGTCCAAGCTCAATTCAAAGCCTTTTTCTTATGACAGCTTTGTTTTATGTAATTTGGGTGGAATATTCTCAGAAGGTGCAGAATTTAGTTCCTCCCACCGGTACTGTGTGGAATAACATTCAGTGCAGCTGTAACACACTTGTTGATGCTCTGCAAAAGCCCCAGAGGTGGAGGTGCCTTAATGCATCGCTTTTAGACCAAAAGGAAAAATAAAAAACAAACAACACCTTTTACCCTACAGGAAACAAAATAGATTTTGCTCGTACCTACTTCTCTCTCTCTCTCTCGCTCGCTCTCACTCTCTCTCTCCTTTTGTTCTGTCTACACATCTCATCTACCTCCTTCTTATCTGCGGCCTGCATCTCAACCTATTTTTTCCAGGTCGTCCTAGCAACGCTGGTGAAAGATAGAAATTGTGCCTGCCCCTGCACAGCACCAGAGTAAAATTATCTCTTCATCTTATGAGCCATCTTCATACACGAACATGCTCAAAGAGCTGGTTTATGTATGTTCTCCAAGTTCAATAAGATGTGGAGATATCTGCAAACTCTTCTAAAGCAAATGCACTATTTTAGCATCTATCATGGTTTTTGGTGTGAAAAAGGTTCACAAAGAAACTACGACTGTTACTACTTTTTACAGTTTACCAGGATGTGTGTGTTAACACTGAGCCATAAATGCTGTTTCTATAATTACATGAACCTAGGAACATGGGAAACAGATATAAATTAACTTTTCTCAGATTGTGTAAGCTATTTCCCAATGTTAAATACTGTATCATCGCATGAAAATGACACTTTCCAAATCATGTGTTGCATAAGAAAGTGCATATTAATCTTTTGTATTCATGAGTAGAGTTGTAAAATCTTTGACATATCATTGCTGTTGGATTGTAAGGAGAGTTTTGCAGTGTAGACACTGAATTGCCTCTTAACACCAAAGTGTTTGGGACTTTTTCTGTCGTGTTTAAATTATAGTCACAAGGCTGTGAGATTGCCAGCATTGGAAAAGGGGAAACCCAAGCACATTTCTCAATGTCATTAACAATACATACATCAGATCTCAACAGACTAGTCCCCAAGTTGGTATGTACGAGTTAATTGGTCATCTGTATAGTTATTAGTTAAAAAGCTGCTTATGAAACAGTGAGTCATTTATTCGTAATGATGTTGGGAAGTTGTCATAATATACATATAATCAAATAATAAACTGCAAGACACATTCAGAAAGCTCCTCTAGTCACCATTAGAAGCTGCGTTGCTCCGTGCACCCTGTTTGACAAAAGTTGACGGTTATGAAACTTAAAAATGATGCATAAGCTCATAGCCAGATTTCAATAGGACTCAAGACTGACCAGATAAACATTCTGCATGAACAAAAGAGATTCTTACACCTTTTCAGATTCATATAAGTGTTAGTTTGAGTAGTTTTTTTTTTTTTTTTTTTTTTTTTGTAAAGCTATGCCGTAATGAAATTTGCTTTGACAAAAATCTGTATTATTAACCTCGGCATGTGGAAAATTCTTTTTCCCAAAACCTTTTCAAATGTACCTCACAACATCGACATCGACTCCATTTACCACTTCAGTCCTGACATCTGACATGTACCAGTTATTTTGGCAGGACAGATGACTCCAAGAAGCTCATGTGTGAAAGCCTGGCGAATGGTTCCTGCCTAATGCATAGTAATGTATTCTCACTGAGGAGAATGTGCTTCCTCTGAGCTTTTACACAATGGGGAATAGGGAAAGATGAAAAAAATCACGCTAAAATACCGTAATTTTCCTGAAAGAGAAAACTCTCTAGCAGCCTGCTCCGGTCCTAGCTGTTATTAGAAGCAGCGTAAGGAGAGTGTAGTCTTTCAAAGATGGAAGCATTTTTTGAGTGTACATGTGTGCGCGTACCCGTGTGCGTATGTGTGGGTGGATGAAGAAAGGGAGAGCAAGAGAGAGAGATGGAGAGAGAGAAAGAAACCTCAACCAAAAATCAAACCTCAACATAAAGAAAAAGGCTTTTATAAAATTCCAAATCGATGTTTATGAAAGTTTGCTCTGCTTGGCTTCCTGTGCCAGTCACGTGGTGACAGGTGACACTTGTAGTGAGGACAGGGAGCCTGATAAGGCTGCAGAGAGATAAGCGGAGCTTCAGTTGTCTTCTCTGCGGTTTCCTGTGACAATTTGCCATTTACACCTCTTTCTAAAGTAACATCAAGCGGCCTTAAAGCATGGCGAACTCTCAATCTGTATCATGCTACTTTGTCTCTTTTGTCTCAAACGTATAAACATTCATATGCACACAGGGGCACTTTGCATTGCTACTAGATTTAGTCAAGTGGTTAAAAATGGTAATGATATTGATAATCCATTGTTTAAGTCATTTATCGAGTTAAAGCCCCACATATTAGCTGGTTAAACCTTTTCAAATATGAGTTTCATGGTTCAGAAACCTTTGAGTTGTAATTATTTACCTTTTGTTATTATTTTACATTTACAAAAAATAACCCATAGATACATCTTCAGTTGCAGCCCAAATCGGCACCCAGCTTTTTTTGCTGTAGCTGCATATGCTCAAGACCCATTTAGCGTGCCGTGGGTCAGATACTTAACACTGCTGTGAATGCGAGCCCCCACCCATTTGCCACACTGTATGCTTTTTCAATGAGGCCCATTGTGCATGGAGACTTGTAACATATTTTTGGAAACTATTTTTTTTTTTTGTCAAAGGGTCGCCTACATTCTGGCATGAGAGCACAGGGGGCTGGTAAACTGGCACTGTATGACCCTTATGTGCGCTCGTTGTTACAGTAGCAGGCTTTTGGAATGCGAGTCAAAGCTTTCTGAAAGACACCCAGTGTTGCTCAGCCGCTTATTTTCCAAAGTCGGGGTGGCTGTTGTCATGCACCTTCTCCAATCCTAGCAGGAGTTAAGAGGGCTCGAAAAGCACCATTTCAACCCACACGTCTGTTTCCCTGAAAGCTTTTGTTTGTGTTGTATAAGGGTACATTTGGTTTTCTGAGGCACTCGAGAGAGGTGACTTTTTGCTTAGCTTCAGTTTTGCTGAGGCGGTGTGCAGCATAGGCAGGTGTGATTTCAACATGCAAGCCTCAAAAGTGGGTGGGTTCGTGTATATGCTGAAAAACCACAAGATCAAAGTGTACTGCAGTGAATCTAGTTCAGAGACAAGACCATATTTTTTGGGTTGTCTATGTTTTGCTTTCCCTCCTTTTTTTTCCACAAGATGTAATAAGCTGTTGTAATTGCACTAAAGTTAGTGCTAGTGTTAACAGATTATTATATTACTCTTTATTCATGAAAAAATGCAATCCATTTTAACTTTACGGAAGACTTAGGAGTCACTCCCTCTCTCTCTCTCACTCTTTCAGTCTGTATGCAAGTCTATAAGATGTTTTGCTGAAGCCTAAAGGCAACCCCTCTTATTTTAAACTAGTGATTTCATCAGTATGGAACTCATACAGACACAGACTCTAGATTCACATACTGGACAGGGCAACTGGCAGACAAGGGGATACATGATGAATGGGACTGTTGTATTTAGGAGGACATTTGGTTCCACTGCTGTACTTCAGTCTGACCCAGATTAGAAGGTTTACTTTGTACCTCTCCAGACATAAGTGAATAATTGGCATGCTGTACTTTCATACATAGCAGAATGATACACTGTAGAAACGCAATATATTCCACTCCACACAAATTTCGTTGTCTAGTAATCCTTGCAGTGCATTAAGATTATTATATAGATTTAGCATAGTTTTACGTAGTGTGTCTCCCTCTTGTATACTCCTTATACTGGAACTCTTCCTCACCCCAAAAATGTGTTTTATTCATCTTGGATTTCATTTAGCATCAAAATACCATATATGCATTTATACATATACATTTATTAAATTAAATCCACACACCAACCAGTGTCTACACCAAAAAATAGCAATGTGTCTTCTCGGTGTAAATAGTGTTTTCTTTAGTTTAAATGCATACCTTCTCTCCTTCTCCCATCTGCTCTGCAGGCAGTGGCCCCATCCAGCTGTGGCAGTTTCTTCTGGAGCTGCTGACCGACAAGTCGTGCCAGTCCTTTATCAGCTGGACAGGCGACGGCTGGGAGTTCAAGCTTTCTGACCCAGATGAGGTGAGAGGCCGTGACCCCGCTGGTCCCTGGTACACGTGCTGGGAGGTCCTAAGTAGTTAACCAGATGAACAAGATGTCTTCTGACTTTGTCAAAATGTTTGCATGCCTTGTTTAGCAATATTTTTTGGAAGGGATAACTTATCTTGCAGTGTGTGTATATATGTATGTATGTATGTGTGTATATATCAAAATGAATTCATTTGTTAATTGCTCAGCAGTTAAAATGAAGATGATTACATTCTCAGATTATTACCAGATTTTAATTGTGGATTTGATTTTTAATTTGTTTCACATGTGTTATATAACTGTTTATGACACATCTTGACATGCTTATTTCCTGCGTTGTTTTAGGTTGCTCGGAGGTGGGGCAAGAGGAAAAACAAGCCCAAGATGAACTATGAGAAACTGAGCCGTGGCCTTCGCTACTACTATGACAAGAATATCATCCACAAGACATCGGGGAAACGCTACGTCTACCGCTTTGTCTGTGACTTAAAAAGCCTGCTGGGGTACACCCCTGAGGAGCTCCATGCAATGTTGGACGTAAAGCCCGATACGGACGAGTGAAAGCAAAGAAGAAATTTGGAAGTGAAGACAAACATTTTGGAGTCACGTGGACTGCGGCTCATAAAAGTGGTCTTAACTGTTTGATAGAGTCGGTAAACCGTTTTTTGGGGGGACCAAAATGTTTTTAATGACTAACTGTGGTCTTTGTCAACTTCAAGCTCCTGTCTCTCAGACCATGTTTTAAAAAGAAGGCACAAGCCAAAAGCCTGTATTCATACCCTGTTGCATTTGAGATGTGTGTGCGCGCGTGTGTGTGAGCGTGCGTATGTGTGATATGTACCGGTATTATTTAGCGGGTAGATTTCAGGTTCCATTCTGCCTGTGTAGCACAGTGGACAGACGAGAGGACCAAGACAGAAAGTCTGAAAGAACCGTGACAGAAAGAGCAAAATTAAATGATTCATTTCATTTTAGAGAGATAGGGGGCAGAAAGTTCCCGCTTTGACAACAGCGGTTGCCAAAATGTAAAAACTAAACTATGGAAGGCATAATGTCATATTTACATACATGCTCACTGTTTCTCTTCTGCAAAGAGAGCGTTTTCAGCTTGGACCAAAAAACGTTGTTTCTAATTTGTTGTGGAGGAGCGTATGCTTGTGCCAGTATTATATTATTGATGTTGAAAAGACCCAGTGTTAACCTACCAAGCATATATTGGAAAGAGTTTTTAATGTTTTCAATGAAGGTATTTCAGTGGAACCAAACCTTAGAGGCCAAGTTTAACTGTTCTGTTCTCTAGGAGCCTTTAACTGATATGTGCTGATTTGTTATCAGACAACACTATAGACACTGGCCCTGTGCTTTGTAGGGTGTGAGGACCTGGTGAGATTACTCATACCAAGAGCGTCTGATAGACAGACAACTGAAAGTAGCCGTTGCTTTAGAAACTGACGCTTTCACCTTTACGTACTTGTTTGCCACCTTGGTAGAAACACATATTGTGACTGAAACTTATGCATTTTTGCATATACCACCAGTATTAGCAAACTGTAGACAATCTATGTGGGGGAATTCAGGAGCCTTTGGCAAGAAGAAATGTTTAATGTGCAGATTAGATGCATAATTTGTCAGTTCACTGTCCATGTTAGTGTTGCTTTAGAAATGTTTGAATAATCTTCTGTTTGTCTGTATAATAAAATCACAAGTGAAAAAGTTGAGGGAGTGATTTTACAAAATCCTTAGAATGTCAGATTTTTTTTTTTTTTTTTTTGTTATGCAGTACATTTTAGCTACAAAGACGCGGCTGCAGTATAGTGTGGAGGTACAGTGTAGGAAAAAGGGAAAGGCAAAAGAAAAATGTTGACTAGAGAAAATTGGAATGTTGTATGGGATAGATGAGGTGGCGGAAAGGAATCTAGATACTGCAGGGGATATCACTTGTGAGGTCTGATGAAGAAGGTGACAGAAATGATGCAAGTTGGCACTGCTTGGAGATTTGAATTACATGGGTTGTATAGTTCATTTTCCACTGCCATCATGGTTGGCTGCAGCTTTCATGTGAAACCTCATTGCAAATAGAGACATTTAGAACTAGTAGCAGACATTTGTATTTAAGTTTCAGGTTCGTGTTGCTTATCAATGAACAAAATAATATTCTGTTCATAGTGAGTAACTTATGTATGATTGCACCCACATTTGTGCAGTTTGCTTACAGTACATGCATAAATATTCACTGGTTACATTAGAGCAAATTGGCAACAGTTTCCTCCAACAGTGGGAACAGTGGCTGTACACTGGCCTTATGGGAAATGCCAAAGTGGAATATCATCTTAGAATACAATGTTATTGTTTACAGTGGCTGAATGTTACCCATATGGATGAAAATAGCTTTTGAAATGTCTATTTGTACAGATTGTATTTCATAATGCTTTATTGAGACCCAGATTACACAAATAAGCAAGAGACAAAGCAGGAATAATAACCAAAACCCATGTGAGGTCTTTGGCCACAGCAATTCGGGTGTCATCCACAATCGTCAGAAGACAGGGACCAGAATTCTCTCGGTTTTTTTGGGGAAGTGTTGATTTTTCTTTTATCTTTTGTCAATATGTTAGAAGGCACACAGCTTTAGGACAAAGAGAAATGTATTCACTCATCTGAGTTTCCCACTTAGTGTAGAAAAGAGATGCTGTACATGTTCCTAATGTGTAATTGATAACAAGCTTTTCCACCGTCATCAAGCACTGACTCGCGAAACCACACCAATGCTTGTCATCTGACAAAAAAATTCAATTTAATTTGTAATAACCTGCACTGTACTTTTATTATTTCCTGCATGTTGATGTCAAGGCGTCAACCTTTTTCATCAAAGTTTTTCTGTCAATGTTTTATGTCAAAGAGAACTTTACAGATTTTTAGACATAGTTGTGATGTTTGTCAGTGCCCTGAAGAGTTTTCTTTTTTTCCCCCCACACAAGGTCATGATATTGGTATGGTTGGCTTTATAAGATTAATGTTCTAAAAGAAAACATTATGTTGCATAAAATGTTAATATTTTGAAAATTATTTTGTCAGGAAAATATACTGTTGTTAAATGTCACAGATTCCAATCTACTGCAGGTCTTATGTATTAATGAACCTTAGTTGGGTAAGTGTATACACAGCAGTAGTTTGTGGCATATGCATATCTCAGAATGGATTCAGAAGGAAAACCTTTTTTTGCTTTGGATGTTGTTTTTTTGTATATTTTATAGTGTCTCTGTATTTTTGTTATGAGATCATTTTTATTGTATTTAGTTCACAAACATTTGAATATTTTTCAATAATTTATATTTTATAAAAGACAAAAGACGCAGACAGCTGGTGCTTTCATGGGAATTTAAAGGTAGCGCAGGACAATGTAATGTAGCGATTTGTTTTTTGTTTTTTATTCTTTTTTATATAGAAAATAGACCTGTCTGCTAAAGAAAAAAGGCTGATGCTGGCCCATCAATGATTTCCGCTGGAAAGGTTTTATAAACTGTAGCTTCTATTTCTAAAATGTACTTAATGTACTTAAAAATGTTATAAAATATATGTGAACAAAGATTTCATAATTGTGTGTGGTGTTACTGAATGTGCATATGCATATAACACTGACAGTTATTAGTTCTATTATAATACTATATACTAATATTATTATCATTTTGCTATAATAAGTTTTATGGACATACAAACAACACAAAACTATTAAATATGTTTTACAGTTTTGTATGGCAACATAGTGCTATTTTATACTTATTCTGCAGGACATCTTGTTGTCTAAGATGTGATGTTGACTCATCAAACTCGATACTCCTAAAGCATTGGATGTTTGATACAGTTCAACATCTATAGAAAAAGCAGTAATATATTATATCAATGAGCAACTCTGAACACATACTGGTGATTGTTTTTCATTGGATAAATTGATGGATAGATACTTACGTAGACACATATATCATAGATCCATTGATGGATGGTTTCAATCAACAGTTAATTATGCATCAGACCCACTCAAAGTGGCTCAAATTAGTCAAACAAATCTTTCTACTGTTCAAATCACCACACTCTGGTCCTTCAAAGGGGGCCTAGGTTCCCTTTGAAATACATGTGGGCCATGGTGTGTCCCGGTTTTAACGAGTATGTCCCATGGCGCTGATGAGGTGACGTCAAAACAGAACCAGCACACTGGGGCCCATTCATGTGCTTGTAACCCCGGGCTCATATAAATTCCACTGCAGATAGAAAACATACAGGGCCATGGCCTGCTGCCCCAAGCAGCACAGCTGTTTGGCCCCACAGCAGCAGTCTAGCAATAAGGCCAAAACACAGGTCCAGTAGTCTATTTTTCAGTTCTAGAAAATGGCTAAATGAAGAAACAAAATACAATGTACATGACAATATCATATATATATCATATCAAACATAGACACAATTTCGAAATGTGCTTTTGGTTTGGGCGTCATTTACATAAATGACAAATGTAATGTTTTGAAATGTAAAAATGACAATGATGCTGATCAAATAAGACATACATACTGAATATATCACATGAAAAAGAATGCACATGACTGCTTTTACACACTTCACATGTAACCCCAAAAGCAAACACAACAGAGCTGTCTTCTGTCAAAATCAGACCCATATTCTCCTGTTGGAGGTGTTCTTGGCAGAGGGCAGGCTGAGGTTACCCAGGTGGTTCTTTTCCTTTCCACCTCCCTCGCTCTGACTGGGCTAATGATCCAGACCAGACGTGATCGCTAGTCAGGTTTTTTAAATACTTGCCTGGATAGTGCACGTTCCAACCGACCTGGAACAAAATCCAAACCCATTATGATACCACTCATACCTGCTTATTCCACATCAAAAACCAGACACAAAGCGTCCTCTAGCAGACACACTTTACCCACACATTTTTACCCGATCTGTGCCTCATTCAGAGAAAATCTTCCACTGATTTAAAGCAGTGTTTTAAAAGTGAAAGACAGCAGAGAGAGACATGAAGAAAAGAGGAAGTCTGTGCAGAAAGTGAGAACCTTAACACCTGGCAGTCGCAAGAAGGATGTCGGATGATTTCTGCCTCTCTCGACAAAAAGTATCACCTCCTGTCGTCAGCAGCTTACAACTCTCTTGACACTGGAATGCTGTCCGTTTGTCAGATTTCAAACCTAAATATTTATCTAAAGGGTCTTACCAAGCTACATATGTCTCCTGCGTGTAGTCTTAACATGACTGAGAATGACAGGGAGGGAGATTAAAGGGTGGACTGGTGTAACCATGAAGTTGGGAAATACTGGCCTTATTAGGGGCACAAGTGCAATAAAACTCAAACCTCTGGAGTGAATTTATTAGGTGAAATCAAGTAATCGTAACTGCCCTCTGGGGCCATCTTATCTGTCTGTGGCATTGAAGGATGCGTGTGTCCTAGTACAGTATTTTATGCATTCAGATGGTACTGATGAGTGTTTGGTCTGTATATGTCTGTAAGGTCCATGCTGGCGCATGTACTGCAAAGCCTTTTTTTACTCATTTTTTCACACTTTACTTCTCAGGTGCTGTTCTAATCTTTTCCAGCTCTGAAAGCTTTATAGTATCATCACAGGAGAGATTGGGGGGTTGAGTTTCATATTATACTGTGTCTACTTTTTAAGTTACCACTGTACTGCTGGGGCACAGGAAGCCAAAAACATAATTTTTAGATGCTAATGGGTCAATTCAATGAGCACTTGTGAGGCGACATTTATTATTATTATTTATTTATAAATGATGATTGACTGTTGCAGCAGAGTCAACTGTGTCTGTGGTTGAAGGTCTGGGAGAAATACCAGTTATGAGAATCTTTAATTCCATTACTAACCCCTTCATCACGCCGACAGTAGCATTTATAACTATTTAACTATTTCAATCTCAGTAGCAGGGTTTCTGTTGCGCTCCATTGCTTTCCTGACTTGGATCAAGTCTTAATTAGTAGCATAACATTCAAATGAAATAATAGACAACACTGTGGCTCTGCCAAATTACAGAATCAGATTAGCAAATACCAAATACTAAACTGAAAACATGTGGCAACATTTTGTGGTCCTGAAAGTAATTTGTAATAGATAAATGGTAAATCTTCCCTTGTATCCCTTAAACCAGTCACACTCATCAGGGCTGGTGAATAGTACCAGAGGAAACTGTTTTTGTGGTGAAACTACAGTGTATGTACACCATAAATCTCTAAAGAAAGTTCATAAATCTCCATATGAGAATGTTACAGTGCATGTCTATGTCATCTAAATTAACTGTGAAGATAACTGTAGCCGAACTGGTATTTTAATAACACTGAATTAATGTCTGACTACACTCTGGCACCAAAATAAAAGTATGAATAGCATTTTAATTTTAGGGACATTAATGGATACAAAAATCGAACATTGGAGGGCACAATATGAAACAGCCTAGATGTCGCTACTGCAAAATCAGCTTTTAACTTCAGTCACAATGCTTTAACAGTCGACATTCTTTTGAGTTAAGACCTAACGGGCCTTCTGCTATGATAAGGATGAAACACAACTATATCTATCCTCACAGCCCTAAATTAACATCCTCTTCATAGAAAGAGAATCCCTGTGACGCACAAGAGACCAACTCAGTGGTTCCATTACGCAGGGAAGTTGTGAAATATGACCAGTGTGTCCCAGAGGGCCCTGATGGTCCAACTTGAGACACAGTTGCCTGGGGATATATCCATGTCGCATTGTCCTTCACAGTTGGCCTGACTGCGATGTCCAGGGACATGCATATAAACAAAAAAAGATCTACCATGTCTTCTCAAAAATGAGCCTTCTCATGGATTTGGGGAAAAGAGACTGTTGATAGAGGTGAATTGTCTTCTGCTGATTTGTTCTATTGCCATAAGGTACTCTGTGACTTACATATACACAACAATACTTGGGCCAGGCAACTTATGTCACATGTAAACTCCAGCAAAGCCATTAATTGACTTACAATTAGACATTTTCCAGTAAGTAGTTAAATGTTATTTTACTCAGAGGAAAACTGAACATTGTAGTCATTAACCTTGCTCGACATGGATGAGCATAAAGAATAATGGATCATCAATTAATTGTACATCTCTGTGGGCAAGAGTCTCATGTTAACACAAAGCCATATGCTATAAGTGACCTAACCAAACATTCATGTTCGAAATGACCATGTTTTGATTTTATGAGGCAGTTGTGGAGATATATTTTTTGTGACAAGAGGGTCACTGTTCCCAGACTGGTAAGGTGAATCTGAGTGGATGTGAACTAGATCACATAACACTGTGGTTGCACTGGTAGTTTTTGGTGTCAGAGTGGCAAAAAGTGGAAAGTGATGATAACCTTATTGGTCGAAATGTTGATTCAATTAAACTTTTGGACATCTGCACATTGTCACATCTAATTGCTGCTAAATTATCTTGAATGAGATAAACACACATATGCCCCTACCGTTGGTGGACACATTCACCTTTACTTACTATATGTGACAGATCTAAGAGCTTTTTACACAATTTACCAATAAATCAAATCAGATAGCTGCATAAAAAAAATTCAGGAACAAAGCAGCCAAGCATTTCAGGGATGTTTGCTCTAACATTATTGAATTTGGACATGCATTAGTTTGATACTAAAAGTCTTGGCTTTCCCTTCTTCACTTCCACAAATATCAGCTGTTTGTCATCAACAAACACCAGCACAAGTGACTAAGAACAGATGGCTGCGTAGGATAAAGAATCTGATTCTGTATTCAGCTTTTAAAAATGACAAATGATGTCTAGTCTTCAATAGCATATAAACAGAATGCAGATTAAACATAATGGTGACTATTTGGCATACCAATAATACCTGTCACATATAAAAGAGCGTTGTCCTTAGCTATAGCACGTACTGCACACACTCTATACCTCTCCTGTTCCTCCCCTCCTCTCATTTTTAGTATTGTTATGTCTGTGATGTGTTGAACCACATGTCTTGGCAGTTGTGGTGACTGTATTATCCCGGCTTATAAAGGGCAGATCCAGGCCATCGCCTGCTTTGGCTGGTAATTTGCATTTTTATTGCCGTTGTCGCATCCCCAGTTAATATACCATTGACTCCCAGAGCCACCCCTGGACCTAACGGCATCACCTTGCTATCCCACCTGAAATGAGAGTGCCTGCTCGCTCTGGATCTGCATTGGCTGAAGCTCAGGTACCAGTCGACCTGGCATTCTGGGACGGAAATGGAGTGTCCTCTCATGTTAATGTGGACTTTCCATTAAGAAGGATGATTGATTTGTGCTGTGCTGTTGCTGTGAATAGGCAATAGACTGGCACAATAACAGAGTGAGATGGGGCTTTGTGTGCAGGTGAGGCTGTATATGAACTAGAGTGTGACTGAAGCAGGGTGCTGATGATTGGGGGTGGGGGTGGGGGGCGAGAGGAGAGAAGATGCAGAGAACTGAGAAATGGGATGGATGTTTGAATACTAGAGGGTGAAGGTTAAGGGATGAGAAGGAGAAAAGGAGGAGTGGAGGGTTTAGAGGTGCAGAGGGATGGGGTGATGAG